CTTTGTGTTTTCGTAACACAGACAAGCTCTGTATTATATGATTTAAAAACAACAATGATCTTTTTTTAAGACTTTCTATCTTCTTATAATGACAGATTATTCGTCAGTTTGTCTTTTTTTACTCTGAGACCTCACAACTTTATAAATATTTAATTATGCATTTATATTATTCTTATTAGTTAATGTTTCATCTAATTGTTTGTAGTTTGAGATTTTAAACCTTCAAAAAATATGAGTTTGTGGTTTTTCATTGTTACTAGATTATTGTACTGCTATTATGGATTGCAGTGTTCCCTACATCACAACAGGAGCATAGCTATAAGAGAAAATTTTACAGGTGTCCAAGAAATAGATCAATAGAAAACAGGGACTTCTTCAGGTGGATAGATCAGTTAGACGACTCCACCTTAAATAGTGATCTGGCGTGAAGTTTCTTTGGAGAATAAGTTATTTCGTGAAATTGATCGACTGCATTTCAAAATCAATACCATGAAAATGTTAATTGTTATTTTAATAGCTTTATTTTTAGTTTTGTTTGTTGTATTACAATTTAGGGATATGTCAGATTTTAGGTATAATGTTGGGATTCTGCATGTAACTTATGTTTTCATGCATGTGTTATTCAATTTGGACTGATTTTGTTATAAACAACACATGGATATAGGGACAAAATAGTTATTTTTTTATCATAAACAATTGTTGCATAGCTATACAAAACAAAACAGACAACTTCCCTGCAACAGCTTCCTAGGATAGTTGTTGTACGATAGCTTGCGCCAAACAGGCCCTCAAATTGCATAATCAGTAGAACAATCTCTTTCAATAATCAAGAAGCAATTGAAGAAATACAGTGGGTGCTTAGGCGCTGCGACAATGGGCGCTTAGGCGTCGCATACTTGGGCGCTTAGGTACGCAATGGACAGTTCCAAACAGAGAGTTTGGCGCTTAGGTGACAGCCCCTGGGCGCCTAGGCACCAAAACTGACACCAGCTGTTGAAACAATTTGGGACTCGAGATCATGGGAGATCATGGGGAAGATAATATAAAAACCAAGGAGAAGTGGGTTGGGGTTGCTGCTTTTGGCTTCTACTTCGCTTCAGTTCTAGTTTTTCTTCTCCCCGGGCATTGAAGAAAATATTGGCAGATCATCAACAGCAAAAGATAGGAGGTCGGAGAGGTTCTAAGAGATAAATGCTTGTATTTCAATCTGTTCTTTATTGTGAAGAAGAAAAAGAAAAGTCCTTTTTTGTAGTTTATTGTAATATATTATTTGCAAGACTTTTGTATTTTGATTTCTATTTTAATCAAATGAATGTTTTGGTGTGTACAAGCATTAGTAAGTAATCTTCCTATTTATTCCTTGGGATGGGTAATTAAGATGGATTGGTGTGAAAGTGTTGTTTGAACAAAATTATTTTATGGTGATGATCAACTTTCTGAATGTCATTTATGCTTCATTTTGCACATGCGATGTGGTAAAAATTGTTGTGAATTAGAAGTCTTGGGGAAAATTATAATGGAATCAACTAAGTTAATCACTTAGCCTATAGAAATAGGGATATATCCTGTAGGGTGATGCAAATATACGGGAAGAAAGTTCTGATTGGGTTAGTATAGGATTTATGGAAATAAAACTGTCTAGCCAAATTTCTTTATGTTACCGGAAGGGGGTAAAGAAAAGTATTGTTCCTGTTTGTCACCATGATTTTCTTCTAGATACTTTTACATTCAAAAGTTTTAATTGAACCTTTTCAAGGGAGAACCTTTAATATTTGAACCCTTCAACTTCTTTATTGTTAATTTAGGATTGTTTTAATAATATTTAAATCAAACTAAAATTTCAAGCAAGGACTAACAACTGTAGGCTAGAACTTTTCTTGTTAGAATTCATCTCGTTCTTAGTGGGCGACAACCGGATGCAAATGCCGGTACTATTGATACGCCACATATACTTCACAACACTTGGTGCATATCAGATCTCATTTGTGGTGATACGTTTGTGTAACACATACAAGCTCGGTATTATATGATTTAAAAGCAACAATGATCTCCTTTTTTTAAGACCTTCTATCTTCTTATAGTAATGGATTATTCGTCAGTTTGTTTTTTTTTTTACTCTAAGACCCTACAACTTTATAAATATTTAATTTGGCATTTATATTATTTTTATTAGTTAATGTTTCATCTAACTGTTTGCAGTTTGACATTTTAAACCTTCAAAAAATGAGTTTGTGGTTTTTCGTTGTTACTAGACTCTTGTACTGCAATTATGGATTACAGTGTTCCCTGCATCACAACAGGAGCATAGCTATAAGAGAAAATTTTACATATGTCCAAAAAATAGATCTGTAGAGGACAGTGACTTCTTCAAGTGAATGGATCAGTGAGACGATATCACCTCAAATAGTGATCAGGTGTGAAGTTCCTTTGAAGAATAACTTATTTCGTGAAATTGATCGACTGCATTTCAAAATCAATACCATGAAAATGCTAATAGTTATTTTAATAGCCTTATTTTTAACTTTGTTTGTTGTACTAATATTTAGTGAGATGTCAGATTTTAGGTATAATGTTGGGATTATAAATGTAACTGATGTTTTCATGCATGGGTTATTCAATTGGGATTGATTTTGTTATAAACAATACTATGATATAGGAACATAATAGTTATTTTTTTATCATAAACAATTGTTGCATAGCTATACAAAACAAATAGACACAATTTCCATGTAACAGCTTCCTATGATAGTTGTTATACGATAGTTTTTAAAAAAGTTGTAGTTGCCCCAAACAGGCCCTCAGATTACATATTCAGGAGAACAATCTCTTTCAATAATCAAAAAGCAATTGAAGAAATAGACAAATGATGCAGTAGAAATGAAAGTGAGTGAGGACACAAAAGAGGAGTATCAGTTGTTAACCGATAAGGAAGAGATGCCATCGATTCGAGTTAAACCTAGAAGAGAGATTCCAATTGAGTTGATTGTAATTGTTCTCGAAAATAATGAATTTGATATAATGAGTGTTCATGCAGAGTATGAGGTAATAGTGTCTCGAACTACATTTTTGGAGGTGTTGGGAGAGCATCAACCGAATTGGTATTGGATATACAAAATGACCATGAGTTTGAGGAGCCGATATTGGACACAAAACAACTTAAAATAAGAAAACTTTAAACTTTATATAGCCTATCGCCTGAGTTGCTCATACTGAAGGAGGTCCAACTTGTAAAAGATGAGAAGATTGAGTTACTTCTAGAAAATTATATGGAGTGATTTGGAAGTTAGATTTAGTTCAGCAGTTTACCTGTCATTTGATGTCCCAACAAGAGGGAAGAACTGCAAATTCGATAATTGTCTTAGAAGCTTGATGAGAAAGAAATTTCTTTATAGGGATCCAGGTCCTATCAGTGAAGATGTCTCTTTTAAGTGGTTACTAGTGCGAGCGGCGCAGCCTGCCATAGATTTCATCCCAAAGTTGATTTCTCCGCACATACTTGTTTATCAACTAAAGCAGAAGAAAAAGATTTCAAACTTAAACCTCAAGAGTTATATTGCGAAAACCTACATCTATATGCAACTTCAGCTTAGGATGTGTCGAAAAAGGATGCATATTTATTCTATCAAGACGTGTTGTGGAATATCAGCGCCTACAAGATTGATTTGTCAGTAGAGTTAATTCATTCCTGGTATCTTTAGTGAGGTTGTCATGACTGTTATGAGGAGACACAAGCTTTGAAAGAGGAGATATCAAAGCTCCCCTAACCCTGAGAGACTAACGCGAGTGCACAAATAAAGTCGCAAGCGAACGAATAACGTTGCGGACGCGACATAGAGGGAGTTGTGGGCTTCTACTTCAATGCCTTCGTCTAGACGTAACCCGTCCAAACTCGGGACGGTTGATCGGCTCTCTCATGAGGGATTGGCGCCTCCTTTCCAAATAAGATCCAATCCTAGTTATATAAGCTTGTATATGTAATTATTGTTTTTAGTTTTTCAGTTTTGGCATGAGTTTGTTAGGGACATATGTCAGCATTTGTTTCTCCCTTCGATGGTTATATCCGAGGGATTGGATGGTGTTTCAGTTGTATTTCTCCCCCAAGGCGGTGATTATTCTTCCCCTATCCCCTTTTGCATCCTTCCATAAAACTCTCAGCCGCTACTTCCCAGCTGCGGCCGCACGGAACAGCCTCGTTTGGCTGTTGTTCCGGCCACAAGGAATGCTGCTCTGCAGCCTTGGCTAATGTTCCAACCATTCTGAACCACTTCACCTTCACTTATCCACTTTCCCAGTCCCTCCCACTGCTGTTATCACTGTTCTAGTCCTCCATACCCGCTACCATAGCTGTTCCAACCTCCATCTTCACTATTGCTATTGTTCTAGCCCTCCTACTTTGATGTCATCATGTCGGACAGCCATGCGACGTCGATAGTTGTTGCATATTTGCTATCCAAAACAGAGAAAACTATTGTCTTATTGTTTTATGCTTGCCCACCACCTCGTCCACCATCCCACCACCTTCCACCCTCACCGATCACCACAACCACCCCAAGATCCACCCTAATTTGTGTTGGATTGTTGAGTCTATTATTATTTTCTTTTCAAATATATCAGTTGTATCGTCTATTGGCTTTATTAGTAATAATATTTATTTGTCTATTGTTGTTTGGGTTAACTCTGATATCTAAATTTATATACATCAATCATTTTTTTTTTTACAAGTTCTTGTTGAGATAGGCTTCTGAACTAACACTGTAAATAGTTTCATCTAAAAACAATGTAATTGCATCTAGAGAACTATAATGAGAATAAATAGCAAAACATGAGTCTTAAATACAGAAAGTAGATAGATACTTCCTGCCATTTCTGCAATTAAAGAAATTATTAAAACTCAAGCAAAAAAGTACATACTGCAGGTGTGGTTATAAAACAAAATTTCCACATTGCAAACATCTAGAATTCTAACTAATAAAGATCAACAAGAATGCGTAAATGCACACCTCATTTGTTTCTGAGCCAGTAGAAATATACCCATCAGAAATAGATAGACCAACAAAATTCTGAGAAAAAAACAAAAACAAAAACATTTTAAGAGAGATTCAACAAGTATGGTAACACATTAAATTAAAAAAAAATCTAAAATGTTATCTAGAAGTTCACGGTGTAGAAGTAAAAAAGGACTGGTCAAGCTGATTCTGAACCATTCAGAGGAAAATATGCAATTTGGCACCCTTACTCCTTAATTTTGATCCAAAATAATCTCTTGACTCTTCAAATCTAACACAAAACAATCCAACTGAATTATTTTTTATCGTATCTAAGGAGTTATATACATGCATGCATGCATGCATACATACAATCAACCAAACTATGTGGTTTCACCCACTCTTAACAAAGAAGTTGATTAAAATATATATTTTCCTAAGAGATAAAACAAAAGAAACTTAAAAATGGTGTTCATTGACAATCATGTCATTAATCAATTAGATTAATAGTTTTGCATCAACAAATTCACAAAAACAACCCTTTATAATTGAAAAACAACAAAAGAAGTCATTACCTTCACGTTCGTATGCCCGGTGAACGTTTGAACGGGGTTTTCAATGACCCCAGACGAACTCATCGTTAGGTCCCAAAGCTTCAATGAGCTATCCGTCGACGACGAAACGAGCGTCGATGAATCCACAAAGTTCACATAGCTCACAGTCCTCGCATGGCCCACCAACGTCAACAACGGCAGCCGCACATTACGAAGATCGTAGTAATAAACATTATGATCTGAACCAACAGCAATAGCATGAGCAGAACCTGGTGGAAATTGTACAGAACATACATTTGCCCTTGTTATTATAGTACCAATGCTTCCTCCCTGCATTAAGAGGCAAATTTACATGTTGCAAGCATGAAAAAAGTAAATTTATAATGTCAGATAGCAGTGCATATAGTTGCAAAGCTGACATACACCAAGTGCAAGAGTACAATTGCCTGATTGATATTCCATAGCTTCACAGTCCCATCATCACTTCCGCTGGCTAACTTCGTCGGGTCCACTATCGAATAGTTAACCGACCACACCCGTTTCTCGTGCTCTCTCATTTCAACTAAAACTTCACTTCGAGCAACATCCCATACCTTTGAATGTAACATAATAATAAGTGATTGACAACAATATAAAAGTGATTATGGGAAATTTACATACGTAGCACACAATTCTTATGAATTTACACATCTCACACCACACCTAGCACACATTTCTTATGTATTTACGTATCTCGCACCTAAACTTTCATATTTACATACATAAAGCTTATAAAGTTTTGGTGTTTTAAACCAATGAATGAAAAGGAATAATTCACTTTTAAAAAGTACTGACAGTGCTATTTTTGGCATGATATTAAATATTTGAGTATTATGTGCATAAATATGAAAGTTTAGGTGTGAGATACGTAAATACATAAAAATTGTGCACTTAGTATATAAATTTCTTTATGATTAGCCTACCTGCACAACACCGTCGAAATCGCTCGAAGCAATCTGGCTTTTTATGTAGCCATTCCAGCAAACACTGCTGAGTTTTGATTTACTAATCACCTCAACCACAGGATAATGAATGTTATGGCATTCATTTAACATTGCATCAAATTCAAAAACTTTAATCTTTTTATTCACGCCAGCAGTAGCAAAAAATTCTTTGTCCCGGTCGAAAGCAAGGGAGCAAATCAAATTACTGGAATTTAACAGATCTGATTGTTTAACTTCTGCACAAACTTTTAATCTGCTGAAAGATAAAAACTTGCATAAACCTTCCAGGAAGGGATTTCCAGATTCAACCATTTTGCCACCACCATTGCTTTGCTTAGAAGTTGAATAATTTACAGAACTCCCCTCAGTTCTAACAGTGGATCCACTGCAAGGATTACTAAAAAGTTGGCCTTTTGGCCTCATAGATCTGCACCTTGAAGAAAAATATGCTTCTTCCAGCTTTTTGAAGTTCTTCATGATTCGAGTGCTTTTTGATGGGATTTTCTCACGGGTCCCTTTGTTAGAATCTGGTCTGGAACCATCAACAACATTTTTGTTAAACTGTTCTGCCATTAAATTCTCGTGGGACCTTACACGCTTTCGCGAACCCGAAGAAGATGAGTCTTCTTCATTTATTTCATTATATGGTAAGGGACACTCGAATTTAATAGCTATGTCATGATCACTTTTCTCAAGTTTAAGAAAGAAAGATTCATTTTTTATGAGACCGGGCCTCTGGTTCTTGACTTCTTCTATATCGGTGCAGAGAAAACAGATGGTGTCATGAAGCTTGTCGGCGGCCTCTACCTTTCGTGTTTGAAGCTGCAAGAGGAAGTCAAGAACTAATTCCAGTTCTTCAGTCTCCTTTTTCAGTTTAATAGCGGCTTCGCGCTCTTCCAAACAATCTGTTTCTCCGTTTAAGAAATCGCTTCGTAACAACTCACTGTACTTCACAGGCAAAAGAGTTAGATTATAACCAAGGTAATAAAGTGGTTGATTTCAGGCCAAGAAAAAGCTGAAGCTGTTCATTCATGTCTTCAGGTGAATGATTTATATAAAAAAAAA